AAAATTGAAAGCATTTCCCCTGAAATCAGGAACAAGACAAGGGTGCCCACTCTCACCACTACTATTCAACATAGTTTTGGCCACAGCAATCAGAGCAGAAAAAGAAATAAAAGGAATCCAGATAGGAAAAGAAGAAGTGAAACTCTCGCTGTTTGCAGATGACATGATCCTCTACATAGAAAATCCTAAAGACTCTACCAGAAAATTACTAGAGCTAATCAACGAATACAGTAAAGTTGCAGGATATAAAATTAACACACAAAAATCTCTTGCATTCCTATACACTAACAATGAGAAAACAGAAAGAGAAATTAAGGAAACAATACCATTCACCATTGCAACAAAAAGAATAAAATACTTAGGAGTATATCTACCTAAAGAAACAAAAGACCTATACATAGAAAACTATAAAACACTGATGAAAGAAATCAAAGAGGACACAAACAGATGGAGAAATATACCGTGTTCATGGATTGGAAGAATCAATATTGTCAAAATGGCTATACTACCCAAAGCAATCTACAGATTCAATGCAATCCCTATCAAACTACCAACGGTATTTTTCACAGAACTAGAACGAATAATTTCACAATTTGTATGGAAATACAAAAAACCTCGAATAGCCAAAGTAATCCTGAGAAAGAAGAATGGAACTGGAGGAATCAATCTGCCTGACTTCAGACGATACTACAAAGCCACAGTCATCAAGACAGTATGGTACTGGCACAAAGACAGAAATATAGATCAATGGAACAGAATAGAAAGCCCAGAGATAAATCCACGAACCTATGGTCACCTTATCTTCGACAAAGGAGGCAAGGATATACAAGGGAAAAAAGACAACCTCTTTAACAAGTGGTGCTGGGAAAACTGGTCAACCACCTGTAAAAGAATGAAACTAGAACACTTTCTAACACCATACACAAAAATAAACTCAAAATGGATTAAAGATCTAAATGTAAGACCAGAAACTATAAAACTCCTAGAGGAGAACATAGGCAAAACACTCTCTGACATAAATCACAGCAGGATCCTCTATGACCCACATCCCAGAATTTTAGAAATAAAAGCAAAAATAAACAAATGGGACCTAATGAAACTTAAAAGCTTTTGCACAACAAAGGAAACTATAAGCAAGGTGAAAAGACAGCCCTCAGATTGGGAGAAAATAATAGCAAATGAAGCAACAGACAAAGGATTAATCTCAAAAATATACAAGCAACTCCTCCAGCTCAACTCCAGAAAAATAAATGACCCAATCAAAAAATGGGCCAAAGAACTGAACAGACATTTCTCCAAGGAAGACATACAGATGGCTAACAAACACATGAAAAGATGCTCAACATCACTCATTATCAGAGAAATGCAAATCAAAACCACAATGAGGTACCATTACACACCAGTCAGGATGGCTGCTATCCAAAAGTCTACAAGCAATAAATGCTGGAGAGGGTGCGGAGAAAAGGGAACCCTCTTACACTGTTGGTGGGAATGCAAATTAGTACAGCCACTATGGAAAACAGTGTGGAGATTTCTTAAAAAGCTGGAAATAGAACTGCCATATGACCCAGCAATCCCACTTTTGGGCATACACACCGAGGAAACCAGATCTGAAAGAGACACATGCACCCCAATGTTCATTGCAGCACTGTTTATAATAGTCAGGACATGGAAGCAACCTAGATGCCCATTAGCAGACGAATGGATGAGGAAGCTGTGGTACATATACACCATGGAATATTACTCAGCCATTAAAAAGAATTCATTTGAATCAGTTCTAATGAGATGGATGAAACTGGAGCCCATTATACAGAGCGAAGTAAGCCAGAAAGATAAAGACCATTACAGTATACTAACACATATATATGGAATTTAGAAAGATGGTAACGATAATCCTATATGCAAAACAGAAAAAGAGACTCCGATGTATAGAACAGCCTTGTGGACTCTGGGAGAAGGCGAGGGTGGGATGTTTCAAGAGAACAGCATCGAAACACGTATATTATCTAGGGTGAAACAGATCACCAGCCCAGGTTGGGTGCATGAGACAAGTGCTCGGGCCTGGTGCACTGGGAAGACCCAGAGGGATCGGGTGGAGAGGGAGGTGGGAGGGGGGACCGGGATGGGGAATACATGTAAATCCATGGCTAATTCATTTCAATGTATGACAAAACCCACTGCAATGATGTAAAGTAATTAGCCTCCAACTAATAAAAAAAAAAAAAAGTATATTCCCTGGGACTTCCCGGTGGTCCAGTGGCTAAGACTCCACGCTTCAAATGAAGGGGTCTGGGGTTCGAATCCTAGTCAGGGAACTGGATCCCAGAACTGGATCTTGTGACACAACAAGAGCTGGGATGCTGCAACTAAAGACCCCGCATCTCACATCAAAGATCGAGGATCCCGCATGCCAAAGCCAAGACCTGGTGCACCCAAATAAATAAATACTTTTTAAAATAAATAAATAAAAGTTTGTTCCCTGCTCCAACAATAATGAAGATTCCACTGAACCTTTTTTTGGGGGGGTCAGGGGCAGGCCGTGCTTTGGGGCTTGGAGGATCTTAGTTCCCTGACCGGGGATCAAACCTGCACCCTCTGCAGTGAAATCGCTGAACTGCCAGGAAATTCCCTGCACTGCACCTTCAGACAACCCTCAAAACCAAGACAGATCTGCCTAAATCTAACCAAATCCGCCCTATCCCCACCCTGACTACCAATGGAAGACTCTCCTCAGTATACATGGCAGAATCTCAGGGTCAAAACAGGGCCTCTTTTAGGGTCTCTCACATTTGAGGGGAAGCTGACAGACCGGGATGAACTATTTACGTTCAAGATTAGCTCCCACCAGGCTTCCCTGCTGGCTCAGCGACAGAGAATCTGCCTGCAAATGTAGGAGGTACTGGCTTGATCCCTGATCAGGGAAGGTCCCAAACGCTGTGGAGCAACTAAGCCCATGTGCCCCAACTACTGAGCCTGTGCTCTGGAGCCCGGCAGCCGCAACTACTAAAGCCTACACGCCCTAGAGCCTGTGCTCTGCAATGAGAAGCCCGCACACCACAACTAGAGAGTAGGCCCCCGCTCGCTGCAACTAGGGAAAAGCCCACGCAGCAATGAAGATCCAGCACAGCCAAAAATAAATAACTAAATAAACAAAATTACAATTTTTTAAAGTCCAGCCTTAATCCTCTTAAAAAGAAAAAATTTAAAAATTAGCTCCCACCAAGTTTGTCCCATTTCCCTCCACTCTCTGGGAAAGGCGGCAGGATGATGGACAAGTACAGAAAGAACTGTTATCCTCAGGTTCCCAAAAAGCCCCAGAACGAAGCTTTACATCTTTGCCTGCAGAGATAACCACATCCAGTCATTACAACCAAAAAAAAGAAAAAGAGAGCCTGGCAGGCTGAGAATGCTCATCATCCATATAACCCGGCCCAATTTCTCGGCGTCCTCTCAAAGACGCACCTCATCCTGTTCTTATGTTCGTAGGTACTGTTCCCCTTTCCTGATCTCATGTCCCTCATATCATACTCTTTCTGCTGTTTTCTACTACCTGTCTGTACACATCATGGTTTGAGCCTCTTCCTTCCAGAAGTCTCCCTCCTCTCTTTGCTGCTCAGTACCACGTGGCATGTGCGTGTGCTCTGTTGCTAAGTCATGTCTGACCATTTGAGACCCCACAGACTGTGGTCTACCAGGCTCCTCTGTCCATGGGATTTCTCAGGCAAGAACACTGGAATGCGTGGCCATTTCCCCCTGATTTCCCCCTGATCTCCAGGGGATCCCTCAGATGTAGGGATTGAGCCCTTCTCTCCTGCATCTCCTGCGCTGCCTGGCTGATTCTTTACCACCGCACCGCCTGGGAAGCCTCCACCACTTGACTTCTAAAGATTCCATCTCCTCAATACCAGGGAAACTCACATGCCTGAATTTCTTATCCCAGTCTCCTCCCATCCTCCTTCTTAACTACCACATCCCCACCCTCTACCCAGCCCCCCACCTCCTGCCTCCTGACCACAGCACCATCAGCTAGCATCAGACAACTCCTAAGAACATTCAATCAATACTTGTTGAACTGAAATGAATGGAATTGAGGAGACTGGGAGGAGGTATCCAGGAAAAGGTGGCCAATCGCTCAGCTGACTCACACAAAGGCACAGAACATCGTTAAGATACAGGGTCTTAGAGCCTGAGAGTGAATGAGCAGGGTACAAGATATCAATGAGCCAGTAAGGACAGCCCCCTGTCCTCCACCAGGCAACCGGCTTGGCTCAAACCTAACTCCCTTCTCCCCCCAAGGCTGTGTGGAGTTGCCCTACCTGGCTCTTATACAAATTCTCCGCCTAGGGAAAGCTAACTTCCCAACTACTCAGACATCACATCTACCCAGGCAAAAAGTAGCTGGCACACACTACAATGGTGTGGACCCGGCCTAGGTGTCTAAAGATTCTCTGTGGTAGGAATCCTGACTCACTCAATGTGAATACACCTACTCAACACTGAGGGGCCAGGAAAAACCACCTGGGGTGGCCAAAAATAAAATAATCAACATTAAAATGGAGCTTAGAAACTGAAGTCTGAGTGCAGGAACCACTTAATTTCTCTTGCCTTCTTACGATCTCCCTCAGTGAGACTGAGAGTATCTACCTCAAAGAGGTTCTGTGGGGATTAAATGTGAAGTGCGCATCCTACTGACCCGAGTTTCCTAAGGGTTCAGTAAACACTAGCTGCTATGGTTTTTACTACTCATGTTGCTGTGAGGATCCGATGGGTTGGAAGGCAGCGTGAAGCCCGTGTACACGTGTACTGTAAAGTCACCGGGCCCCGCCTAGGCTAGGAAGATGGGTGACACGTGGGCAAGCCGTCCACTCGGGCGGAGGGGTCCTGCAATCCTCCACGAAGTTTCCCGGGTGCCCTGGGACCCCCCGCTTCCCCCCACCCCGGAGGCTCTGGGGAGGCCTGAGGAAGAAAGGGGAAGAAGGCGGGAACAGGACGGCACGTACCTGCTTTCGCTGCACTCCTTCCGCTCCCTCACCCGCAGCCACTTGCGCAGGAGGAAGCGTTTGCGGCGTGGGGAAGCGCTGGGCGTGGAGCAGTTGGACCACGGGGTGTCCTCGTCGCTGGAGGGCGTGATCTCGATGGATGGCAGCTGCAGGAACTCCTTGCCGGGCGCCAAGACGCCGGGCAGGTCCCCGCTCAGCCCGGCCTCCAGGCTTGGCTCCTGCACGTTCTTGGTGCGGCGCATCTTGAAGCGCCGGCGGCGAAGCGTGGGGGTCGACGAGCTGGACCAGACCGGGCTGCCCTCGGGCGCGCCCCGCGGCTCGGGCACCTGCAGGGCGGGCGGCTGCAGACTCTCCATCATGTTGGCCGCCGGCATGGGACCCACTGCCTCCGCGCTGCCCCGGTGACTCGCCGCCCGCTGGCCCGGCTCCCCGGCCCTCGCCCGTGGCGCCTGGCCTCTCACGTTAGGAAACGCTCGCCGCTCGAGCCGCGAGCGGAGCCAGCTCGTCCCCCGGAGCGCCGCGCGGGAGAAGGGGGCGCGGGGGCTGGCGGCGCGGCCGCCCGGATTCGAACTCGGCTGCCCGCCGCCGCCCGGCCGCCCTCTCCGGGGCTCCCCCTCGCGCGCCCGCTTGTTTTCCTTCGGCGGCGCTCCCTCGCCGGCTGGCGGCCGTGCCCGACCGGGACTCGGCGGCCCGCGCCCCCGGGGGAGGCTCGGCAAACTCTCAGGGGTTTGCGTTCGGCGGACTAGGCTGGGGAGCCGGCTTGGCGCTGCAGGGAGGCAGAGAGCGGGAGGAAAGGGCAGAGATAGGAGGAAGACGGGGAGAGAGAGAGAGGAAGCAGACGCTGGATAAAAACAAAAGAGGAGGAGCAGGGGGCGAGGAGCGGGCAAGGGGGCGGGGGTCACGTCTGTCCAGAAAGGGCGTGCTCGGACGGCGACAGCTAGTGTAACTGTACCCGGGATCCCTGGGGAGGGACTCTACCTTCAAGTCCCGGCTGCTCCAATCAGCCTAATGAAACAGGATCACGGCCCAAACTTTCTCAAAGCGACGATTGGCCAGGCAGCTCTCATTAGTCTTAACTCCCTGCTTTTTCCAGGAGGGGGAGCGGGGCTGGGTGGTGGGGGCGGGGAGGAGAACCCGAGGAATTCAGTCCGGAATCGCCAGGGCCACCCAAGGATACAGAGTTGAGGCGGGGAAACTAGGGCTCTCCGGGCCGGATCTCCTCTTCTAAGAAAGGTGCATTCTTTGAATCACTTGGGGGTGCAGGTGGGGGCACAGGAAGCCCGGACACAGTCAGATGAGGGTCAGTAAGGTTCCTAGAGGCTGCTTCCAAAATGGCAAGCTGAGAAGAGAGGACAGCTCTGTGGAAGAAGCTGAGGACAGCAGACATGACATATGAAGGAAGGACAGACAACAGGACCTGAGAGACACCAGGCACAATGGGACCAGTCAGGAAAAGGGGGGTGGTCTCTACATCTTGCGTGACCCCCCATATCAGGGACCCATCCCATGCACAGAATAAAATTAGAGGAAGGTGAGCGCGAAGCAAAGGGTGTCCCAGGGAATTGAGGGTACTCCCTTCACATTTCTGGCGGTTGGGTCAATTCTGCTTCCACTTGCATGGACTGGGTCACAAAACATCTATATGTCCCCAGGTCACGGAACCTAGAAAGTCTGGGTCAGTCCTGTAGTTCCCAAGCTATACGGAACCCCTCACTCTCCAGACCCAGGTTCTACCCTAAGAGACTGGCCCTAGAACTGATCCACCTTACTGAGGATCCTCTGTCAAGATTGAATCTAAAAAGCCCAGCTCCTCTAGCAAAGAAGTTAACACCCACCCTCCCTCTCAGCCCAGCCCATCTACCTCTCCAGTAAGTCTTACATGTAAGAACCAAAGTAGAGATGTGTGTGCTCAGTTACTTAGTCATGTCTGACTCTGTGTGACCCCATTGACTGTAGCCCACTAGGCTCCTCTGTCCATGGGACTTTCCAGGCAAGAATACTGGAGTGGGTTGCCATTTCCTCCTCCAAGGGATCTTCCCAACCCAGGGACGGAACCCATGTCTCCTGCGTCTCCTGCACTGGCAGGTGGATCCTTTACCACTGAGCCACTGGGAAAGCCCCAAGTAGAGATAGGAGCTTTCGGACAGGCCAGGAGGAACACAAATAATGCACCTTGAAGTCCAAGATGCGGGTCACCTTGTCTTCTCTGCCCTTTCAATGAGTCCAGGAGGGAACCGATGCCTTATTTCTGTGCCAGGATGAAGGTCACAAGAGCATGTCACAAATGTCCTAAAGCTGAGGTGAAACCACATTCCTAAAGACCACCAGAGCTCACTGCAAGAAAACACATCCCTTCAGTTTGTGTGACAGCTGGCCCTGGGTCCACCATGCCCTGCAGTGACATCTGGGGAGGGGTCATGGCTCAAGGCATCCTGACATTGCACAACCTCCCCAAGGCCAGGAATCTGGGGGAAGTACATTTTGCTCGGGGCGAGAGAGACCATAGCCAAAAACACTAGAGCCAGTCGTTCAATCGCTAAGTTGTGTCCAACTCTTTGCGACCCTGTGGACTGCAGCATGCCAGGTTTCTCTGTCCACTGTCTCCCGAAGTTGGCTCAAGTTCATGTTCATTCAGTTGACGATGCCATCCAACCATCTCATCCTCTGTTGTTCCCTTCTCCTCCTGCCTTCAACCTTTCCCAGTATCAGGGTCTTTTCCAATTCCTGGCCAGAGCCAGACCACCCATAAACGTCTCCCTGGAAGAGTGGCCTGTCTTGTTTCTGACTCTTTTCCACATCCAATCACTGGCTCTCTCAAGGGGGCTCAGTATCACTCTATTTTCACTCCTGGATGTGCCACGGAAAGGAGAAACCCCTTGCCATCAGGTGTCAGGCTGGGCAAGCAGCCGGACACTGCATCCGGCTCTGGGAATGCCAAGGAGGCCGGGCTGTCACTCCACTCTTCAGGCTCCGGAACTAAGCCACGGAGTTGCTCACTGCCTTGGATTTCCTCCAAGGAGCAGAGATCTGATAACTTCTCGGTTCAAGGAACCTCCTTGTTGAGGGGCTGCTGAAGTCAGAGAGCAGGGTCTCGGGTGTTCAGGGGGCAACAGGAAGGTGAGTCACTACCATTCACCAGGAAGCCACAAAACAAGACAAGACAAAACGAAACAGCAGGGCCCACAGACAGGTGCCCAAAGCGCCCATGGGTACTTGGGGGAAAGGGAGATTCGCCAAGAAGGCAGCCTCCTTTGACGTTGACCTGAGCCCTCTGAATTTAAATGTACACCTTTTAAAAGGAAGAAAACTCAGCAGTTTCCTCTTCCCACACACCTCAGCCACTTTTCCACCCACGAGAGATTCTGGATCTAAAATCTAAACTCCTGTGAGATTTAATTTAAGCCTTGTGCCCAGCAGTCCCTGAGAATGATCACTTAGGGCTCTTCTGGCCTGAGGGAAAACCTCCTCCACACTCAGTATGCGAGGGTTTCACGTGGCCGGAAAGCAGATACGTGAAGCCCTCGACCGCTGCGCTGGCTCACCTCCTCCTGCACTCTTGGCTTCAAGAAAAGAAAGCACTCATCACCCAATAAAGCCCTGTTTTTTTAGGTTCAGTAGTTAAGCCTTCGCCTTCTAATGCTGAGGGCAGGGTTCGATCCCTGGTGGGGGAGCTAGGATCTCACGTGCCTTGCGGGCAAAACTACTGAAACATACAACAGAGGCAATATTGTAACGAAGTCAATAAAGACCTTAAAAATGGTCCACATCTAAAAAATAAAAATTATAAAAAACCTTTTCTCAAAACACATCCACCAGAAACTAACACAATACTGTAAATCAACTCTACCTGCTAAGTCGCTTCAGTCATGTCCGACTCTGTGCGACCCTATGGACGGTAATCCTCCAAGCTCCTCTGTCCATGGAATGCTCCAGGCAAGAATACTGGAGTGGGTTGCCATGCCCTCCTCCAGGGGATCTTCCCGGCCCAGAGATGGAACCCATGTCTCTTACGTCTCCTGTACTGGCAGGTGGGTTCTTTACCACTATCGCCACCTAGGAAAGCCCCAAAATCAAATCTCCTTCAATTAAAAAAAAAATTTTTTTTTAAAACACATTCCTCATTCCACCACCCTCAGCTGTTTACTTGTCCCTATCAAGTAAGATGATAAATGGGATATTGGTTTGAAAATGAAATGCCCTCCAGCTACCACTCATCATTACAGTGAAAACTCTATGCACATTGAGGGAAGAATTAAGTTTGTCCTTCTTTGGATTCTGTCCAGTGTCCTGTGTGTTCTGTTTGTAGAGTAACCTTTCCACTTTCATAAAGAACTTTCATACACAATATTTTATCTTCCAGTGACCCTAGCAGATGTTATTACCTTCATTTTGTAATTTATTGAAGTGAGACACAGAAAGAGATCCAAGGTTGCAGATAAAAACACAAAAACCGATCCATGACAAAGCCCGAACTTGAGCCAGGGTCATCTGAAGCTAGTTAGAGGCCACCCAAATCTCATCAAATGCATCAGCTCTGGACATCAGGTCCCTTGGAAGCAACATAACTTTACCAGCCCCGATCTTAGTTGGATATATCACTAAACGACACGAAGCCATTCAGTTTCAACCGTTATTTTACAAGTGAGGAAATGGAAATACAAAGTTTTGAAAAACAATTTCTCAGAGGAGCTGGTGTCAGGGGGTCAGAACTAAAGAGCCTCAGTCACTGCATTTTTCTCCAAGTCCCCCCTACCCACCCCACCCCACCCCTCCCCTCATCACTTCTCTCCCATATTTGGCTCTCAGCTGGCTCAGAGGTGCCCTCACCTCTGGACCTCCAGGCAGGTGGTGCCAGAACACCCAGGCTTCCCTTCCCCCAGCTCACAGCCAGGCCTCTGACTTTAATGAAAGGAGCTCAGATTACCAAGCAACTGTTGTTTATTCTCAACTGTTCAGGCTCCCTTTTCCTGCAGACATAAGACACCCAACACCTGTCTTATTACTTTGGGAGACCCACAAACTCCAGAGTCCATTATTGAGAAGGAAACTTCCAGGAGGGAACTTAACTGAAACATAGCAGCTATGAAGCTAGATTCCTCCAGGATGCACATCCAGGTGAGTGGGGAATGGAAGGAGCAGGCCCCCACAGACCCACATCCCTCCAGCCCCAAGGATGCCAAGGGCAGGCAACTCCCAAGGGCACGTACAGGTGTGTCCCCTCCAACACGGCTGCCACAAGACAGTCAGTCCCCGCCCTCAAGGAGAGGACACAGAATCTCTCTCCCGCACGGCATCAGAGCAGCCAGACCCAAGGGCTCCCATGGAATGGAGAAAGAAGCAGGAAGTGGGCATTCACAAAGAGGAACTTGCTGCC